GCTTGCATCCCTGTTTTACCTACTTTTTCAAAGGCAAGCTTGTAGAATAAAGTTCCATTGTGCAAGGGGAGTCTGCATAGTTCATTTTCTACATCCCCGGGAAACCACCTTTACCCTCTTTAGCTGAATATAGTAAAACACTTGGCTAAGGCCGCTAAGCTTTCCCCATTAAGGGCTGTTTTGGCATGTGTTTTTGGTAGTAGTATCTTGTTTAGTAGTACTGAATCATCAGCTTCCAGTTCTTCAAATGATTCAATTTTGCAAGCACCTGATGCTGAGAGGTTCTTCTATGAGTTTGCCCTTAATCAGTCAGAGAGGTAAAATCAGTTAAATAGAAGTATTATATCAACATGATATCTTGATCACTGTGTGTTAGTCCTAACTCACCGCATGTTAGTTCTACCCCACCACGTGTTAGTTCTAGTTCTAATTCATGGCTCTTAGGCTCCTGTGTTAATCCTAACTCACAACGTGTTAGTTCTAACTCACCTTGAATTTGGTTGTAATTTTGTCTCTTTGTGTCCAATTTGGGGTCTTTTATCTCTCATTTGAGGGGATTGATCGTCTAATAAAGCTCCCAAGTTATGGTTCTACAGCTCAAATCTTTTGTCTGTTTTTAAATTTTTTATCAGTTCCATCTAGAAAAATCTCTCAATTGCTCGTTTACTTCGTGTCCTTGTTTATTTAAGCCGTGTCTTGTGATTTTCTATTTAAAAGTCTCATGTTGAGCATATTCTGCTCATATCTTTTGTAATCTTTTCCCCTCAAATGCTATATTCTATCAAATGTTATATTCTATCATAAAGTTCTCTCCTTTGTTTGAGATTTAAGATGTGTATTGTAATTTTCTATTTAAAAGTCTCATGTTGAGCATATTCTGCTCATATCTTTTGTAATCCCCCCCCCCCTCAAATGCTATATTCTATCAGAAATTTCTCTCATTTGTTTGGGATTTTAGACATTTGCAGGCTGATGACGGTATTAATTTGGTTGGTATTATGTTGTTGTATTTGTTACTTTGGTGGAGGTTTGTACTGGTTTGTTGATTTGTTTTTTGTATTGGCAGTACCAGGAAGGCAGATTATTGTGTTTATGTATGCAGTTATCTCTGTTATTATCAATTCTTCTTGTTGTAAGGTACTCTTTTATGTGTTGATACCATGATTCGAATCAGAACAGGAGGAGATGTTGTTATTAGACCTAACACAGTTAGAACTAACACATATCATGTTAGAACTAACACGATAACAGTTAGAACTAACCACACAACAGCTGGAACTAACGTTAACTAAGCTAGAACTAACTAAGGCAACAAAACCAACACTTATATTAGAACTTGTGTTCCCTAGAGGTAGAACTAACACGATAACTATTAGAACTGACCCCACAACAGTTGGAACTAACGTTAACTAAGTTAGAACTAACAAAGGTAACAGAACCAATACTTACAATAGAACTTGTGTTCGCTGGAGATAGAACTAACACGATAACTGTTAGAACTGACCCCACAACACCTGGAACTAACGTTAACTAAGCTGGAACTAACGTTAACTAAGCTATAACTAACAAAGGCAACAGAGCCAACACTTACAATAGAACTTGCATTCGCTGGAGATAGAACTAACACGATAACAGTTAGAACTGACACCACAACAGCTGGAACTAACGTTAACTAAGCTAGAACTAACAAAGGCAACAGAACCAATACTTACAATAAAACTTGTGTTCGCTGGAGATAGAACTAACACGATAACTGTTAGAACTGACCCCACAACACCTGGAACTAACCTTAATTAAGCTAGAACTAACAAAGACAACAGAGCCAACACTTACAATAGAACTTGCATTCGCTGGAGGTAGAACTAACACGATAACAGTTAGAACTGACACTACAACAGCTGGAACTAACGTTAACTAAGCTAGAACTAACAAAGGCAACAGAACCAATACTTACAATAGAACTTGTGTTCGCTGGAGATAGAACTAACACGATAACTATTAGAACTGACCCGACAACAGCTGGAACTAACGTTAACTAAGCTAGAACTAACTAAGGCAACAGAACCAACACTTATACTAGAACTTGTAGAACTAACTAAGGCAACAGAACCAACACTTATACTAGAACTTGTGTTCGCTGGAGGTAGAACTAACACGATAACTATTAGAACTGACCCCACAACAGTTGGAACTAACGTTAACTAAGCTAGAACTAACAAAGGCAACAGAACCAATACTTACAATAGAACTTGTGTTCGCTGGAGATAGAACTAACACGATAACTATTAGAACTGACCCGACAACAGCTGGAACTAACGTTAACTAAGCTAGAACTAACTAAGGCAACAGAACCAACACTTATACTAGAACTTGTGTTCGCTGGAGGTAGAACTAACACGATAACTATTAGAACTGATCTCACAACAGTTGGACCTAACGTTAACTAAGCTAGAACTAACAAAGGCAACATAACCAATACTTACAATAGAACTTGTGTTAGCTGGAGATAGAACTAACACGATAACTGTTAGAACTGACCCCACAACACCTGGAACTAATGTTAATTAATCTAGAACTAACAAAGGCAACAGAGCCAACACTGACAATAGAACTTGCATTCGCTGGAGGTAAAACTAACACGATAACAGTTAGAACTGACACTAGAGCAGCTAGAACTAACACTTACAATAGAACTTGCATTCGTTGTACCTAATAGGTTAGAACTAACACAGTTCATGCGTGAGGATCCGAATCCTCTATTGAATCTCGTGGTGCTGTTTCTAGCCATGATGAGCCTGAAACAATCTCAAAGGTAGTATGTGATAGAGAGAATTGGGAAATTGAGAGAATTGAGAGAGAATAAGAGCTAAGATTGAGTTTGAGAAGAGGAAATCATTTGTATTTCATTCATGCTTTCATTCTTTTACAAGATCCACTTTTATACAACAGTTTAAGAGATCAAAGCTTGTGCCAGCTGTGCCAGTGCACAAACAGAAAAAACAGAAAACTACCAGAACTAATTGTATTTGTAACAAGCTATTATGGATAAAAGTATCTGCGTAATAGCCCTTCTACTTGCATATCAATCCATAGTTTGCATATCAGTCCAGCTCTTCAAAGCTTCCTTCCGTCAAACTTGTTTCCAGTCTCCCAGCTTACACACAGTTTCAGCAAATGGCAACGGACAGAACTAACATGGCATCGAACAGAACTAACGTAGGAGATAATAGAACTAACATGAAAGCGGGTAGAACTAACGTAAGAGATGACAGAACTAACATAAACGCTGGTAAAACTAACAGTCCGATCCTCAGAACTAACAGTCCAGCCTTTAGAACTAACAGTCCAGCCCTTAGAACTAACATTCCAGCCCTTAGAACTAACAGTCCAGACTACGCAGCTCACAACCAGTTTTTAACAGCTTCCCGATGTTGTTGTTTTTGCTGAAGACGAACCTGTTGTGGTTTATGAAGATGGTGTCGAGGTCCTTGTCGAAGATGGCTCGAAGGGCACCTTGCCCTCGAACTCGTTGTACTTGATGTTGAGAAATTTTAGGGAGGGGAGCCAGATGACGACCCTAGGAAACTTACCGGGGAACCGATTGTTGCTCAGGTCGAGCTCGAAGAACAACCTCATCCTCTCGAAGGTCCGAGGGCTCGTGCCGTAGAACCTGTGGGAGTTTATGAAGAGAGCCAGGTCCCTCAGGAGACCGAGCTCCTCGGGGAGGTACCCGACGATGTCGCCGTGGTTGAGGTCGACGCCGCCGCCGACCTCGATGGAGCGGTTCGATTGTAGGATGGGGCCGCGGTGGGTGCAGGGCTCATAGTTCTAATTTTCCTTGTCCCCCCTTTCAAATTCACAGCTTCTTAGATTCTTTAGTCGACTTTTAATCACATTGTCTTCAATTTTTAGCTAAATGTCGATATGCCTGAAGATTCAATGTGAGCTTCTGAAAATTTCTGCTGTTAATCTCTTATACAGAACTCTGTCAATCACCAAATCACACAAGAAAAAGGCATTAAAGGAAAACCCAAACCACTGTTCAAGAATCCAAGGAGATCCCATTTCAATTAAATGAAAGAAAAAAACTACAAAAACCCATTATCGATTCCCTTCATAAATTACAAGAAAACAAGAGCACTATCTTGATTAAGACATTGATTTGGGTAAAGAGATTCCGTAACTCAGAAATGGGAGAACGACGATGCCTCAGACCAAAGCTCCGGGGCCCCGTCAGCTCGCGGGTCCCACCAGACCATGTTTCGTGTTTGTCGTTGAACCCCCGTTCACGAGCTGTTTCCAAGATGACTCCCCGACCTCCGACTCCATGACCATCGTCCTTGCCTTCGCCTTCCACGGCCTCCCCAGGACCTGATCATTTCCAGTGGCCATGGCGGAAGTGAGAGAGAAGGAGAAGTTGAGAGAGAGAGAGAGAGAGAGAGAGAGAGAGAGAGATGGGATGGGGTTAAAGGGATGTACGCAGTTACCAAGCTCAATCAAATCAAAGGGTAAATTCGTAACTTTTGTTAGGCTTTTCTCAGGGTCCGATACTTTGGGGCCTTAACACAAATACAGTGTGCATGCGAGACTTATACACATGGGTCAGAATACAAGGGGCGAGTCACATGAACTTTCTACTTTTGGGGCCTGAACACATTTTCCCCAAAAATTTATGAATGTGTTTGTTTAGAAAATTTCTTCGTGTCAGTTTTACTTACCTACGTGGCTATAGGTACCTTGAGTCTAATTGCTCGAGGAGTCGAGGCTTCCCTCTCCAGCAGGCCTACGGGAACACGAAAGAAGTTCACGAATACAGATCTGGTGTACAGTGCAGTACACGGTCTGTTGAATTCAACGTCACAATAAGCTCGGTTGCGGGGGCCTATTGACACGTGGCGATGACTACATCATTTTTCACGGTGAACCGCGTAGCTTAAAGTCCACGCAGTCCCGAGTCCAGTTTTTGTTCATTCTCCCCCGACTATATAGACCAAAAAAAAGGGGTGAAAAAAAAGCCCCAGCAGCTCTCGCGAAATAAAAAAGGGAGCAGCTTTTATCTCCCTATTTATCTCGCTCGGCGCCCCTTCGATTTTCTCTCGACCCTATAGAAGACGAATTTGAGCAACGAACCCTAACATCAGCAGCAAACCCTAAAAAGGCGAAAAGGTTCGTTCCCTCTCGATTCCGTTTATTGTTTTTTTTTTCCCATTCTAGGGTTTCATCGTCACCATCTCATTTGAAGCTATTGAGGCATGATTACTTTTTTTTATTCATCTCATCTCTTTGTTTTAGGTGGTTGATGATTGGCCTACGGGTTTGGGAATCTTTTCTACGATAATATTAGGATTTTATGTATCTTATTTCTCGCGAGCCGCAGTTTGGAACGAAATTATTTGTTATTTATTTAACATTAGATTGTTCATTTCATTGTGCAATGCTGATTCTTAGTTGATTCTTATTGGATGCGTTGCAAATTCCAAGTTTCAATACGTTTTTTTTTTGTTCTGGTTAACTTTTTGAGTTGGCTTGAGTTTAAGAGTTGTGATTTTTCGGATCCAGGGCAAAGGTCGAGTATCGATATGACTCTTTTGTGAGGTCCCCTGGACGCGAGAAGGTTGCAATGTACGCCAGGAGGATTAAGAGTAGAAGTGTGAACTTGAGTTCTCTGCTATGGAATTCTTCTCGTCATTCTAGGCCTAAGCAAAAGGAAATTTCATCATCTTATGGAGTTCATCAAACAGAGCAATGTTCTGTTAGAAAGTTTAGTTCCATTCCACTTTCTTTACAAAGTGCTGGTTCTTTAGGAATTTTGAGGAGGCGGCAGTTTTGTTTTCTGTATAATTCATGTAGATGTTATAGCTCAGATGGTAAAGGAAGTAATGCCAGTGAGGGTAAGCACGTACCCGTTGCAGATGCCATTAATTTTGATCAGGCGAAGAGCACAAATGAAGGGGTCATAAGGGATTCAAAAATAAGCAGCGAGCATGCTTGGCTTGGCGAACAGGACCAGCAAGAGTGGCTCAAGAGTGAAAGATTTTCTATTGATAGCAAACGCAAAGAATCTCCATTCTTAACCAAGCGAGAGAGGTTCAAGAATGACTTTTTGCGGAGGGTGGTTCCATGGGACAAGATCCCGGTTTCATTGGAGAAATTTCCTTATTATATTGAGTAAGTCCCTATTAGTGCTTTTGTTTGTTTTTAGCTCTATTTTTTATTCGCTATTTTTATATCGCCCACATGTGATACTAGGGAACACACAAAAAACTTGCTGGTAGAATGTGCCACTTCCCATTTGAAACATAAAAAACTCGCAACAACTTATGGCTCTCGATTGAGCTCGTCAAGTGGGAGGATATTGCTTCAAACAGTCCCAGGTTTTTTTAGAAGGCTAAGATTATGTTTTTTCGTCCATTTATTCTAGAATTCTGTTGTTTAAGTTCCTCTGGGTTTTTCTTGATTATTTGTAGGAATGGAGCTTTATCGGGAAAGATTGGTCAGAGCTCTTGCTCATGATTTACAGGTTCCGCTGATGATGCTTGACAGCAGTGTCCTTGCCCCATACGTAAGAGCAGTAATGAGTTGCTAATAATAAGTTGCTAATCACTGGTTTTGCTATCTGCAGATACATTCTTTCTTGAAATTAAAAAGTGCTGATGATTCTGTACAGGACTTTGGTGACGGCTGTGCCTCAGAAAGTGAGGCAGAAGATGAAAACGGGGAATCAGGAGAAGAATGCACATCAGAGGCAGAGTCTGAAGGTGAGAATGATGAAACCAATGAAGAAACGGGTGAAAGTGATGATGATGATGTTGACGTTCGTGCATCAGCTGAAGCCCTCAAGAAGCTTGTACCGTGTACCAACCTTGAGGAATTTGCAAAGGTACCACACTAACATTCAACCTAGGATCTTGTGGTAGGATAATACATCTATTCATCGCGAAGGAATATAACATGTAGCTAAACTATGCATCTTGAACTATTAGATTCAAGCAGGCCTTCACAAGTGAATTTTCATAATTTACTCGTATCACCATCTTTAACAATCAAATTTTGCATCATTGTCTATTGTGCGCTTGATATTTGCACCATTGGCAGACCAGAGATGCAGCTACCTTTTGTATTATCTAAATTTCAATTTTATATATTAACGACCTAGAATGCTCTCAATTGTTCTAAATTAACTGTAGATCTTTAGGCATAGTGCTGAATATTGTCTGCAGGCAGTTATGTGCTACAGTATGCCATGAATCATTTGAACCCTTCATAGTTTATGTATAGAAGACTATGAAGCATAATTTGGTCAGATTCTCATCTATTTCTCAAACTCCTCTTTAAGGAATATCTATGAAATTCACATATTTGTTGATTTCTACTCCAAATTTTGTATACTCAAAATGATGAACATGTGTTGTGGGCAGGCTTATGGGTTAGTATCCATTCAGACAACTTGAGGATTTTACTGTTTAGAGCAATCCTGCATTATATACAATATTGTTTATTCGTGGAAGTCTACGACTTTATTGGATGGTTTTCTCTACCTATAGTCTCGTGTTATTATCAACTAGTCCTGTGATTGTTCATATTCCTCACCATGTGTGATGCTTTGCGACTATTATCATTAGTGTTCATGATAGCTATCAATCAATCAACCTTCTAAGAGTCAAGGCTGAAAGAATTGACTCTCAAGATGGTTGGTTCCTTGGTGGTTCTTATTCACATGTTCATCCTCTCAATGCTCTCATAAAATGATTATTCTAAACGAGATACTGAACACCAACATCACAGAGGGGCTAAAATCTTAGATCATCATTGTTTCTTTGTAGAGGCATAAGATTTGGGTATACACACATATGGTACAGTTACAATACATACATGGTATAACTAACTTAGTAACACACTTGTAAAAATACATGTTTGACTATCAATATTAATGATCCACATTGTTCATTATGTTCTATGTATTAAAACTTAATGGAGATATAAAAATCTCATAGATTCAATATGACCTAGAAATGAATGGTCTGTAAAGGTCTTAAATGTCTGTTATTTTGAGTTTGTTTAAATTATGGGATAGAAAATTGGAAACAATATGATTTTTGACCCACTTAAATTTGATAATATATAGATAGCAATGAATGGTTTGGTTTATAATATAGATGGGCGAGTATGTATTTTCACTAATGTGTAACTAAGTTAGTTGCATCGAGTGTGTATTGTAAATATACCTCTCATGCTCTCTTTCTATATATATGAGTAGAGTTTCAATTCACTGAGGGTGTAACTTAGTTACACACACCTGTAAAAATATATGCTTGACTATCAATATTAACATCCACGCCATTCATTGTAATTTACACATTTGGAACATATGGAGATAAAAAATCACAAAGATTCAATATTTCTACTTTGTACATCTAATCACCCAGAAATAAATGAACAGTCTGTAACAGTCTCAAATATCATTTTTTTTCAATTGCTTGAATCTTGGAATAGAAAATTCCAAATCATATGATTTTTGATCTACTTATATTTGATGACATGTAGATAATAGTGAATGGCTTGGATTTACAATATAGATGGGCAAAAGTGTATTTTTTCAAGTGTGTAACTAAGTTAAATACACACTGGGTGTATTGTGACTGTACCATACACACACACATATACATATGTATGTACGTACATATGTATGTATGTATCAAGGGGCTTTTTGGCTGAGGTGGAAACCTCAGAAATTGGTTTCCACCCAACCAAAAAAATCAAAATTAATTTGGTTTCTATTTAATTTGTTTGGCTCTGTTGATAAAATAGAAAATGTTTTTCTTAAAGTCATGGAAAAGTGGCTCAGCAATGGAACGCATCTTAGTAATTGAAGGAAGGAAATCAACCACAAAATTTTATTTTTGAATAAAATATTCAAACATTCACATGGTTGTACCCGCGATCACTTGGGATGTTATTTTCTAATAAAGTGGGGACTATTTTCGAATGAGCAACTTTAAATGTGTGGATAAGAAGTAGCCACGTCATATATATACATATACATATACATATATATATATTTATATATGTGTGTGTGTGTACATATACATATACATATACATATATATATATGTGTGTGTGTGTGTATCTATATACATATATGTATATACATACATACATATGTATGTATATGTATATATAGATATATGTATGTATGTACACACATACATCTATATACATATATGTATATACATACATATGTATGTATGTATATGTATATATAGATATATGTATGTATGTACGCACATACATATATATATACACATACATATATGTATATATGTGTGTATATATATATATACCTCGTGTGGGGCTAATAGTTTTCATTTCCCATCTCATGGAAGACCCTTTACGCTCCGCTTAGCCCTATCCCCTTCTAGGGGTATTTTAGTGATAGGTTCTGTACTGGGCGATCCTGTTTGGTCAAATACCTAGCGACAAACTCCTATCCTATGTTCCTTTCATTACGGTATTTCCGAACAAGTTCCTGGATGATAAGTCTAAAGCCTAAAGGTTATCTTATTGATGATATTGATGATAGTGACTATATCCATATTGATGATAGTGACGATATTGATGATGACCTTGATACGGAGCTGCTAACTATGACAAATGTGCTAACTATGTATATGACGCCGAAAATAGACCGATTTGATATCACCGGAGCTGCTAACTATGACAAATGTGCTAACTATGTATATGACGCCGAAAATAGACCGATTTGATATCACAGGATGTATGTATATACATATATGTATATATACATATATATACAGACATACATATATGTATATATATGTATATATATACATATATGTATGTGTGTATATATATATCTATCTATATACACATACACACATATGTATGTATATTATAGATATATATATATAGTGATTTGATATCACAGGATGTATGTATGTATGTACATATATGTATATAGATATATATATATATATATACAGTCATACATATATGTATATATATGTATATATATATACATATATGTATGTGTGTATATATATATCTATCTATATATATACATACATACATATGTATATATATACATATATGTATGTGTATATATATATCTATCTATATATACATACATACATATGACACACACACATACATATGTATGTATGTATATATAGATATATATATACACACACGCATACATATATGTACATATATACATATATATATATATATACATATATGTGTGTGTGTGTGTATATATATATATATATATATATATATGTGTGTGTGTGTGTGTGTGTGTGTGTGTGTGTGTGTGTGTGTAATACACACACACACATTACATATATATAGATATACGGGATGATGAGTATGAGCGCGGCCTCATTTTGCTAAATGAGCTACTAAGCAGATAGAGTTCGGCTGAGCCGTCACACCTTTTGGTGTGACTAGCAAGGTGGACCTCACCACATGACTATCTCTTGGTAGCTCGTTTAGTGCTAAATGAGCCGCCACATTATATCCATTATTTCCATATACATACACACTTGTGTAATTGCTGTGCTGATCGCTACTCAGTATTCAGGACGTAGTTGAATGTTCAGCTGTGTTTGGCCAACATTTTTTTGCTTCTTTTATTAGTGGATATAACAATACACATCTCGTTATGCTCTTTTGATAGGATGAAAGATCTTCAGCTACTAATGTAATTTTTTTTGATGATTGAAAGTTCCTCTCTATGTTATATGCTTACATTTTATTGGGATTAAAATCTAATGCAGAGAGTCTCTGCGGAACTTGAAGGTGAAACAGGTGCAACTCAATCTAATTCTGCTGGATCTGTAGAAGAGCAAAAAAAGACTCTCAAAAAGGGTAATATAGCCATACATAGTCTATCAGTGAATCGTCTCTATTTTCATCATCAATTCGCTCCCTGCTTCCTGTTTCTTGGACTGTTAATTCAATATAGTGCACATATAATTAGTTGGATAATTAGTGAATGGGGTTAATCAGTTTAAGGATAGTTGGCATAACAGCATGCTTCATATTACGATTTGTGAATGCTTGACAATCAATCTGATATGTGGAAATGCTTTCAGTATCTGAGGCTTTGCTTTTGAGAATTTTCAAATTCTAAACCTTTTAATTTGAAGGTTCGTTGCATTTTAGAATTTTCCTTTAATAGCATAACATTCGGACCTCATTTGTCCAGTAGAAGTATGCTTTCAACTTCTGAATATGATCACTTCCCTACTAATTTGGTGATTGTACTTTTAGAAGTGTGTGGTCAAGATGATACACCCTCTTAAAATATTTTCTTTTACCTGAGGATATGATCTACTTAATTTCTGTGCGCTCACATCGTATGCATTTGTTTCTTCAGGAGACCGGGTAAAGTATGTTGGTGAATCTGTGCATATTGAAGCTGATAACAGGTATAATGATCATTCATCTTGTTGGTTACTTTGTTTCTTTTATTAGTCCTTGTTCTTGTATCAGACATCTTCCGTTATGAAGTTTCTTTCTCTATCCAGCGTAAATATTTTTGTTTGGCTTGAAACTAATAGAAGTGATATTGATAGATATTTTAGATTCTAGGCTGCCTTTATTTTCTTATCTACTACCTTCTTTGGTCCGGTCTTATAGTGTCGATTTGTTATGTATATTTGGTTTTTTATCTTACATGTGCTATGAGTTGCTCCTTAACATCATTTCAAAAGGATGAACAGATTGAATTGTTGACTGAACCAGTAAATTCCAGATATCTCTCGAAATACTAGGCTGACATGTATGAGTTCTTGAAAGGGCCATACATTTTTACGGGCACTATTTATTTGACGAGATAGATTTTGAAAATTTTGTGGTGCTGTTACTGGGAAATGAAGTGAGATTATTAGGTGCTATTTTGAAACTTTCTTTCTTTCTCAACAACTCTACCATAAGGGAGTGGCGGATCCAGAAAATTTCTTGGGGGACGGACGACGAGTAACTATTTACCTAAAAATAGTTTGGGACCATTTAACCCATTGTTTGTTTGAATGGGCTTCTAAGCATTGTTTTAAATATCCCTGACATGGCCTGATATGTCGCCCAAGATATCCTTTTATAGCGCTTGCCGCAACGGATACGGTCTCTAAATATCCTTTACTGCTTTTTGTCTATTTTGGGCAATATATCCTCGATATGGCTAATATATCAGCCGATGTGTTGGCCGATATATCCTTTTATATGGCTTGTTGCAAAGCAATACATCGCGTTTGGCAATTTTTCCAAGCGAGATATCGTGATTTTCCAATTATATCAAATGACATTTTGACCTAAAAAAACGTCAGATGAAATGTTGCATCATTGATTTATACTTTTGTTTGTTTTACAAGGTTATTTAGTGATCCTAAACATATGTTATTTATATTTTGTATGCTTAGATTGCATTAAGTATGTTAGATCACATTTTAGCATTATACTATATATATTCAAACATCCATTATGGCATTCCGATATCTTTCACATATTCCCGATATTTCCCCGATAATCGCAATATCCCTGATATTTCCCCGATAACCGTAATCCGATATGAATTTTGGCCATCCGATATTTTCCCGATATCTAATATTTAAAACCTTGCTTCTAAGTTTTACTGTGCTAAACAAATGACTACTAACAAGGTTAGGGTGCATATTGTTAAAGTTTATGGGGGCAGATTGCAATCATTAGAAGACTTTAAATGCAATTTTGCAAAATTTCAAGGGTGTAAACGCTGTCCTAAGTGGTTATATAGATCTGTCCCTGCATAATGGTGCTTGAGGGGTCGCAGGAATATTTACGAAAAGGCATGTTTGAAGGGGACTTATAGAGGAGTGTGTTGTCAGGCACAGGGTTGGGTGGAGGGGAATTAGATCTAGAGAATGTCTCAAATGAAGAGCATTTATGACAAAAGGTGAGTGCTCATTATGGTCCAGGGGAGGGGGCAGGAGATCCCATTGCAGCACCATATTTGGTGCAATATGGTGCTGAAGGAGGAACTCATAGTATGGATGTGGTTTGATTTATTAGGATAGAATCCCATCAAATCCTTTTTTAAATAAAGATAAGGTCTTGGGTAATCTATGTAGGTCAATCAGTTCTATCATGAAGCTGTGGGTTTCAAACATTCCTTTTCCTTTCATCAGAGGGCAGATTTGTTAGTACACAAAGATTATAGAATGATATTAGGGACATAAATCCGTGTTATTTAAATTATAGAAGGAATAACATAACAAATGACTTTTGGTGGACTGCTAGCAATAGTGTCCAAGATCGCCCTACATTTGAGTATACACTTTCAGATTAAGTTTGCCCTATTAGATGTGATCTCCTATGCACTTACTACATGAAACAAAAATCACATTATTGTAATTTTATTTATCCATACATCAAGTGCCTGAAAATTGGTACTTCAAAATTTTGCAAGTTTGTTTTAACTTTTGAGATAGTTCATGTGTGATAGATAACAAATATGACATGGATTTTTATTTTAAGATAGTTTCTGCGTGATAGATCACCACCATGAAATGAATTTTAGTGTGGAAGGCTGATCCATAAATTTGGATATAGTGCCTACGTATTGGACATTAATTACAGATTTACAGTAGAATAGTTGACCTAGGCTACTATTAACAATATCCAAGAGATGGATACTATATTACTGTCAACCCAATTTTATGCTTTGAAAAAAGTGAAAATTGGGACTTGGGAGGCTGTAGCATTTAATGAATGAAATCCTACTGAATTCTGGAAGTATTTGGACATATGAGCCTATGATGGTTTACTAAGTTATCAAAATGGTTATGCATAACATGAAAATGCTTGAAGAATGGAGGGTAGGCCCTTCATCAAACCAATGATACCAAAGTTGTAGAATTTCTGGTGGAATCAAGCTTAGGGGCTAAACAATGAAACTTTGGAAAGATAATCAAAGTAAGATTGAAGAAGAGACGTGTCTGTTGATGGACGTTGTCTATATAACTAGATAAATAAGCAAGACAATTGATGGGAGACATATAGGGAGAAGAAAAAGAGATTTGCAAATGTTTTTCATTTAGAAGAAGCTTATTAAATGTTTTGTAATTTATTAATTTTCTCCAACTTAATTTTGTGCTAAATTGCACTTCAATACCGTACAGTTTCTTGTACCTTTCTTCTATATACCCACACACTTGTTTTTGGCTGCACTTAAATACCCTGAAGTTTCTAAAAGTTGCACTTTAATACTTTATGTTATGCAAACAATAGAATTTTGCTCTGATTCTCCTGTGTGACATTCACGAGCTAGTTTTAGAACTTTTTATCCTTTACTGTTTGATGAATTTACTGTTAAACCAACTACAATTCTATGTTATGGTACATTTGGAGTATGTTTAAAATAGAATTAGGGTATGTTCAACGGAAAATTCAACAAACATTAAGGCCTAAAAAGTTCTAAAGTTAGCTTATGAGATTACATGGAAAAAATCGGACCAAAATTCTCACGTTTACATAGCATAAGGTATTTAACCGCAGCTTTTAGAAACTCCAGGGTATATAAATATCCTCGAAAACAAGTAAGGGTATAATAAGTGCAATGTACGGAAACTATAAGGTACTTGGAGTGCCAATCTTATGTTTGAATGTTGAAACCGAATGATTTACCCTTCACAACATCTCCCTTACTTATTTTTAACCGGGTTATTTTCTGATCTTGATTGTTTGGTAAATTTTAATGTAACCTTTTGGTTTTTTTTTGAGTTGTAAGAGAAGAATCTACAAGAACGTTATACGTTATTGCCAACAGTAGCTTACCTTTGTTTCTTCAGGGAAAAGCCATCTCTATACAAAGTTGAATATTAAACAAGGAATAAGTTAGTTCCTAGCTATACTTCATGATTATACATAGCCATTGCTTTGTCCTTCTCTTTTATTTATTTTGGAAGAGACAAACTCAAGGTATTGCATCTTAGCCGTTTGAAAATAACAATGAACATTAGTGCTGGGATATTTTGCATGAGAAACTTACCTTTTACTTGCTGGTCTAACCATTTGACTGAAAATAGTATATATTGTTCTGAGCAAGTAATCTCTGATTAGCAATCTTGAAAGCATTGTGCAAAAATTGATGGAATAAAGAAGTTAATATACATATACAACTGCAGCTCTAGCCGTCATTATTTTTAGCCTGATCATTTTGTAATAAACTAGATTCTTTAAAAAAAACTCGCATCTTGTATATCACAAGCCGTTCTCAGAATCATCTGTAATCTGTATTGCTCTTACGTTGGTGTGTGGATTTTGAAATACGGAATCAATTTATTATCGTAAATAACTGTCTTTTCGTGGTTCTTTCTGTTGTCATGGACGTAAAGTATTGTTATTCAATTAAGAAGAAGTTAGTTGGTTTAAGATCGTTAAACTGACTTGCATCTGTTGTATTTCTGTTTCATAGGACATAATTTAGTCATTAGATTCTTTTCATTAGATTTTTTTCTTCTTTTCTTAGAATTTTCTTTGAAACACGCATACCTTCACCCCGCCTCATTAACCTGAGTCTTTTCACACTCCTGATTCTTAGCATATACATTGTATCACAGGATCATTTTGGGGAAAATTTCAACCACTGATGGTTCAACAAATGCCTTTACGTTAATTAGTGGCAGGTGGGTGGGTAAGTTATTTGCTATATAACATAGGGTATGCTTGAATCAACTCCCGATTTATCTTTACTATCGCCATTTCTTTAGCACAGGCATCGCTGGCTCAGATACTCTAATAACTTTAATATGTTTTCTTTTCCTGTAAAGGTATTATATAAAGATGCCCACTTTTCCTATCTTTAATATTTTGTTGTTGCTCTGTGATACCTTTGTAGCCGAGGGATTTGCAATTTTACTAATTGCAAACTATTAAGTGAGCTTTATCCTAACATGTCTTTACCAACAAAGTTAAATTCAACTTAACTATTAACTAAGAGCGTTTTATCAATTCTTTGACTTTTTTCTGGACTACATGTCTTTACCAACAAAGTTAAATTCAACTTAACTATTAACTAAGAGCGTTTTATTAATTCTTTGACTTTTTTTCTGGACTATGATATGAGACCATAAATATAACACTGCCAAACAGTGCGTAAAAGGTTGAAATTCAATGCATGCCATCTTAAAAGACCTGTCAATGAGATATTTCCTTATGTGGGGGGCTTAGTTTGGCCTAGTGCTATCCATGCCTATTAAGTACACTCTTTAAATTTCTAATTAACTGGTATATTATTACAGGTTTAAGCTTGTGATAATTTTACTTTAGATTGCATTCTGCAAGATCAATTGTTTTTTCTACTGGCAGTACAGAGATTCCTCCAAACTTACGCTAGACTAATATCTATGAGTTTTTGTTGTCAAGAGCTTTAGATATGGAGATTTTGTGGTTGCAATGCCAAAACTCTTGAGTGCGACTGAATAAGTAGTGCGACAGTGGTTCACGCTGTGAAATAAGTTGTTATTGCTGGCACTATCTTGGAGATATGCATCCTCTTACATTATGTGTGCTTGCATGACATGAGTGACTCCTTTATTTTAATGTTTAAATTAAATGTTAAGGTTGCTGGCCTTAGTGCTGATATTATTGCTAGGAGGCAGAGTTTATCCTGGCCATGCTTTTCTTATCAAGCATCATAAGATATGATGGGAAGGTTTGCAGAAGTTCTTTTCATAATCAGTGAGGGATGTAGAGGTATTTAAGGGCAATGAAGATTGAAGGGTGAAGTTGGTCGGTTTCGTTTATGAATTCAGAATCTAGAATTCATGCAAAATAGGTCGAATTATGGTCTAGAAGATGTGAGTTTATTCTTAGATATTAAAATGTAGAAGACATGTGAAAATTCGTTAGGAAATATCAGTCTCCCGTCTCCAAAAATGAGTGTTGCAATGGATCTACCTTGAATAAAAAAGGACTCACTGAACCTGCCAAGTGGTTCACGCTTGGATGGAAGCCCATTTAGAGGGGGCTAGGGTTAAGCCAGATCCCAGCTAGACCTGGCCCACTTAAAACCCTAACACTATTAAGTGAGAAGAAATTGCAAAATTTGGAAGTTAGGGGCATGGTAGAGGTTCCTGAATACTTTGGATGTGTTATTTTGTTTATGAGGAAAAGTAAATATGGAAAAGGTGGAGTTACTTATTATGATGGAGTCGTTAATCTTTTTCATTTATTTTCCTAACATGCCTTTATTTTTGTGTTCACTACTTGAAAGTAGTTTATTCTTCTTGAAATATGGTGCGCCAGAGACCAGCCCTTTATACTCTTTTGCGTGCTGAATCCTTTGATGATACTCCCTCTGCCTCTCAGGCAGCTTGTCCATACATTCATACAGATGCAATTATTTGCTGGCATCAGTACGTTAAATGTTTGGATCACAATATGTTTGGACATACTGAGTCTGTTTCTGCAAATGCACCTGCCATTTTTCTCTGTATAATTTTACTCTTTGCAAAATTCTATAGCCTCATAATTTGGTGTTATTTTAGATGTTTTTTCATTCTTCTGTTTTGCATACTGATTTTAGTCGGATTGGAGCATATTTGTGCATATTGAATCCACTTATAAAAGATGCTACTTGATTCATTCATACCCTGTAAATTCATAATGACACCAGTTTGTTCCCTGTTTTTAGTGATTGTTCCTGAAAATGGATTGTAGTTCTGTTCAAATTTATGCAACTGCATACGGATTTCTACTTCATAATCTAAAAAATCTATTCTTTAAGATATTTCATGTCAATCATTATTATCCGCGCACTTGTTTTGACATAGTGCCTCAATATTATCAGTTATTTTTATTTAATTCCCACTCACCCATAATTTGCAGGTCTTTGCCAAATGGGCAGCGTGGAGAAGTATATGAAATCAATGGAGATCAAGTAGCTGTCATTCTTGACAGCTCCAAGGACGAAATGAAGGAAGGAGACAATGACGAGAATCTTAAGAAAGATGGAAAACGATATGTCTACTGGTTTAACAGTATGCCTCTATTTTATGCTTCTATGCTAATGATGGTTGTTCTACTTTATTGCTATTAACATTTATGGTTCTCTTTCGGTTATCATGTTCATAAGTCGTTCTTTCGAGTCTTTAAGTCCTGTTCAAAGGTTAGCACAATTTTCTGAAATGTTCATATTGGGCCTGCATATGTTTATGTATATGTGTATGCATCTGGGTTGAGAAAGCATTCGATTTCTCGGTAGCATTCACATATTTTGATTGTTTATGTTCTTGAAATAGCTTGCGCCTTTTTTGACAGTTTAATTAGAATTGTTAGGTACCTAGCTTCCTTGTAGCTGCGCACCTTTTTGACCATTCTATTCTTTCAATATACTGAACGTTCTTCCGGTGTTCGTCCTTTGCTGTGATTGGTAAATCTGGTATATTTATGACTTGCAGTTACCGGCATGCCAAGCAGGGGTATCTTGCTCAAGAATTTCATCCATAAACTGTTAATTACTTTCATGTGTTTCATCATTGCTTTTGGATGTCATAGTTTTTGTGTGTCTATAGACATGTGAGTACTGAGGCTAAGCCTTGGCACAACGGTAAGGTTGCTGCCTTGTGACCTGGAGGGCACATGTTCGAATCTGGGTAAGGCTGCGTACATCTGACCCTCCCCAGAGCCCACAATGGTGGGAGTTTCGTGCACGGGCCAATTTATAGACGTGAGGGTGTACGCTGTCTGCGTGTGCGGGGTGGATGGGTGCGTGCATGAGTGATATATTATCGTTTATGTTTTTATGTTGCAGGTTACACTTGCTGGAAATTTTAAGATGAACACCCACAGTGAAACTGATACCAAACCACATTTTTGATTCTCAAGGCCTATCTATTAAACATTTTATAGCTCTGTAGAGAGTTTTTATGTACTGCTATCACTGGCCATCACGTTTGTGGTCAGTACATCACTGCAAGCAATGGGATCTTATGAGTCCCAATTGTATCTCAAAGGTTGTATCCTGATGTGAAAGTAGCATATGATCTCTCTCTTCATTGCCATTGTTGCTTATTGTTTACTTGCATGATTTTTTTTTTGTTAATATTGCTTTCCTTTTTTTGTCCATCCTTTAGATGTTTCTAGATGAAATTAAGGAACAATAACTTTGAAACAAATTAAGGAACAGTAACTTTCGAACAATCATTTTGCATGCTTTTACTATATTTTCTTAGCCAAAATGTATAAGTACCTACAATTATACTTGCTAAAATTGTTACTTATTTGGTACTTGTTTGCAGTTCAGGATATCGTGCATGATCTTGATACACAATCAGAAGATTGGTATATAGCATTGGAGGCACTTATTGAGGTGTTATCCTCAACTGTGACTACATTTTATAGTCTGATTGTTTCTGGTTATTTATGTTTGTTCTTTTTTTTTGTTCTGTTTCCTATCATTACTTCAGTTTATCCAATTACACATTGTGTGTTTCATCTCTTTACCTTATGCTGTCAATTTAGTCGCATATCCTGCTACTTAGTCTTTACTAGCATTGCTTTCTTTATTTCCTTGGATAACAGGTTCTGCCATCTTTGCAACCACTTATAATCTACTTTCCCGACTCTTCTGAGTGGCTGTCTAGGGCAGTTCCCAAGTCACATCGCAAAGAATTCATTAACAAGGTGGAAGAAATGTTTGACCAGCTTCAAGGGCCCGTAGTTTTGATTTGTGGACAAAACATAATAGAAGCTGGAACCAAGGAGAAAGAAAAATTTGTAAGCTTCATGTTATATGCTCATAGATGAAGAGCATGCATTTTTTTGTGACATCTTTATAAGATTTAACTTTGTTTTAAAGAAATCTTGACGAGTTTATCCTCCTCTTTTCTTTAACACCTTTCTGGTTTGCAGACTGTGGTGGTCCCTCATCTTGGTCGACTGGCTCTGGTAAATTTCTTTTTGTGGTGCTCATGCTTTTATTATCTCTTATTTTCATCCTTTTGCTTGTAAAATACTTTCAACTATCCTAATATCTGCATATTTCCACTTTCGTGGTACTGAACCTCTTTCTTTGGCTGTTTTATGTTCCTTTTATTTGTCAGTGTTTGTGCAATCAGCAAAGTTATATCACAAAACTCTTTGTTTTGCAATGACCATCAGGTCTTGATGTGCTCCCTTTTTCAAAATCATGCTAGTTCTAGTTTTGATACAGTTTTGATTGAATAACAGCTTAACGTCACTTAGTTACTAGATCTCAATTTGACGAACACTGTTAAATTTTGTACCACAAGCTATCCCAGTTCTACTTCTCTGTTCTAATTTACTAATTCCCCATGGGTGATGTCTAGGTTCTTTGTCACGAATATATTTTTTTCTTTGAGCTGGGTTTTTTAGTACTTATGGTTAGTTTTCTTTTTTAATATATGATGATTGATTAGAATACTTCAAATTTATTTGCAGCCTGTTCCATTGAAGCGATTAACTGAAGGACTGAGAGCGGCATCCAAGTCCTCAAAAGATAATGATATGTCCAAATTATTCACAAACACTTTGTTTGTCCATCCTCCCAAGGTATCTGTAGTATTTCAAAGACTTTATTTCTCGCTAAACCTTATCCTTCTCTAATTTTCATGTCCAGATGTAGCGTGGGTTGGTTTCATGAATATTCCAAATTTGGTGCTTAGATCATGTGTTACACGTGAGATTGGTTCCTTTAGAACATGTCTTCACTTTTGAGCCCAGTAATGAGATTGTCTTGGGCTAGGTTCATATGAAAACAACTCATGATATAGTGTGCCATGTCCAAATATCTCTGTACATATCTGCGCATTGTATCTACTTACAGTTTGCTATCTGCGTATATGCATATATGAAGAGATAGACTTGACTGCTGGCTACTTTGACAAAAATATTTCAAAAACCCTTTCCAAATTGGGAAGGAACCTATAAAAGCAAATGGAACTTTGGAACCATATCATTTACCACATGAGTTATTTCACCACTTATCAGCCATTCTTCCATGCAAATAATTTATTAAGCTCACTTTCTTGTGCTTTACATGATCTTATAACTGACATATTAGGGTATGGTGTTCATTGTTATGATAAATTAGCAAATGTGGATGCATGGAACATAAGATATGCAAATTAATAACTTATGCTGAACATGACTGCGTGCCACAATGTCTTGGCTGTTTTGCTTCTTTAATATCTATTTATTTAAATAGTAAAAGACATGTACTGGATGTATCCTCATGATATATATTTTCCCTAACTTTCCGAGGAGAATCATCATTTGCTATGTTACTCAGCTTTATGCCTGCTTTTCCCTTTGCTTTTTGCTCGTGCAGGAAGAGGAGCTACTTCGGACATTCAATAAACAGATTGCAGATGATAGACGAATCATCTTGTCAAGGAATAATCTTATTGAACTGCATAAGGTGTGATGACCTTCAGCATCATATTCGTAGTGTTATTTAATTATAAAACCCATTCCATATTGTGGTTATCATTTCCTCATTCATAGTGTTTATTTCTATGCTTCTGTATTTATGTCTCTGGTTACCACATTAGATTATCCATGTGTTGTAGGTGCTGGAAGAGCATGAGCTATCATGCGGGGACCTTTTGCTTGTGAAGACGGACGGTGTGATTTTAACTAAAGAAAGTAAGAAGATTTAAGCTTTTTAGACAGTAATTTTTCTCCGCGATTAAAAGACTAGTTGTATTATTTTCTTTCATGATGACCCTCTTTTACAATTTTCTTCGGTTAAGGTTGATGTGTCATCTGTTGTTGCTACAAAAAACAGATAACTTAGTGAGGATTTTAAAAGCATTCCTTTACCTAAAGGAATACATCTATGATGATGAATCAATGGTGTGCACTTTGGATTTGCACCATAATGTCAGCTTTTATTTGGTTGTTTAAGATATAGTGTTTCTTGCTCCCCAGTTTCTGTGATCCTGTTTCTTTTTTTTTCCCTTTGTCACAAAAAAAAAAGATTTCACGTGCATAAATATTTTTAAATTCACATATTTTACTTTGTTTCATTTATGTCTCCATATTGTTTTAAAGGACATTCTTTCTTCTGTGTTTGTTGAATTTATTCAGCACTTTATATTTAATGACCTAGAGTGGTCCTGTAAACAAGATGAGCTTCTCAGGGTTTTATTAGCGGGGAAAGATGCAGTGGCCCAGGTGAGTAGCAAAGAGGGCCACGTGCTCCCATTTCGCCTCCATAGCCCCATCTCTTGTTTCCCTCATGCAATTTCTCTAGAAAAGTAGATCTGAAAAACTATGTTTCGTTAGCGCCAGTCAGTTTCAAGGAGTGTGGGTTCAAAATGGATGATACCAGGAGTTGAACTTATTGTATCCCGTAGTAGAGCATAACTTGAGTACGTGATTGGTAGAATTTTGATTTGAGCTAGAAGGGATATAGAAAGTGTGAATTAGGGGTATGGTCTAGGGTGTTGTAGTCCTAACAAAAGTTGGTGATGAGGTTTCCCTTCCTTTTAACACTCACCTGACTTTACTTTTATGTTTTTTCTTTCCTATTTATAAATCATATGTTGCATCATTTTTAATCTACCATGTTCCGGTCTACGTGCATGTCTTCATATCATCTATGTTTGCCATTTTTCAGTCAATGATATTTTGTTTCCTTGACCTTTACTGCACTAAATTTGATTACATACTGTTGGCTTATATTTTGTTTCAGGGCTCCGACCATTGTAGAAAATTGAATATTTCCATTTTCATTTGAAGGATGTTAAATTTTTTTCTCTATTTACATGCAAACAGAAGCTGAGAAAGTTGTTGGGTGGGCTAAAAATCACTACTTGTCCGGCAGCACTCTTCCATCAGTTAAGGGTAAAAAGCTGATGATTCCACGTGAAAGGTAATTAATAATCAAGAATGTCATTTGTGTTTTTCACAGTTTGGTGAATTTAATTGTTGAACCTTTTTTTATTTTTTTTTTATTTTTAAGTTTGGACATTGCAATATCAAGGATGAGGGAAAAGGAGATGGTGTCCACGAAAAGTTTACTAAATCTCAAGGTGTGTTTGCACTTGCGCCATCCATTTCACACTTAATATTTTCTAAACTATTGGGATTTTTTTGTCCATCATTATATTATGTTTTTTATTTTGTAATACATGTAACTTATGGCAGAGCCTTGCAAAGGACGAGTATGAGAGTAACTTTGTTTCAGCAGTGGTTCCGCCAGAGGATGTAGGGGTTAAGTTTGATGATATTGGTGCTCTTGAGGATGTGAAAAAGACGTTGAATGAGCTTGTCACACTTCCAATGAGGAGACCAGAGCTGTTTTTACGTGGAAATTTGTTACGGGTATGTTTTTCTTTGTGCAAGTTAAAATGTTTACAGGCACAGGCTTTAGGCACAACCTTTTTAGTTAGCGACTTAGCGTCATTCAGCTGGGTTTTTATGTACAGATAAGTTCACCTCTTATAAATGGTAAAATTTGTTGTTTATGCACATATTGTAAAATAGTTCAAAATATTTGAGTGCACCTCTTATAAATGGTAAAATTTGTTGTTTATGCACATATTGTAGAGTAGTTTAAAATATTTGAGTGCATAGACTATCCAAGGTTGTGGAAAGTGGAGCGAAGTAGCAAGCTGCCGCTTAGGTTTTGTGGGGCTAAGTGGAAAAAAGTGCCAAGTCAATTTTTTATTTTTCTAATTTTAAATAGGGACAGAAG